CCCCAAAACCCCAAAACCCCAAAACCCCAAAACCCCTTTGAAATGCTCTTAGTGGAAAATATTTAAACCCAAGTTTGTATGTATAACCCCAAAATGGACAAACTAGAAGATAACAATACCACAGAGTATTTTCAGGAAACTCCAGTACCCCTAACACTAAAACTAATACAATGTATATCTCCCTTCATCACAATAGGGGCATGAACTCTTATCACTGGGAATTACTTCATCGGCTTCTGGGCCTTCTACATCCTCAACTGTCTGCTCTTCCCTGTTGTTATGATCAGCTTTACTCCATATTACACACAAGTTTGGAAAAGAGTTAAGGGAACTTACTTAGGACCAACCAGGGAGGTTTGGAAGTTGATATTTGGGATTGTGATGGCGATAATTGGATTTTGTGCTACTTTCTTTTCAGGATATCAGGAGAGAGTAAGTGAAGGGGATGAGAGTTCTCATACTGAAGAGAAGCTAAGTCTTCTTAGAATTACATTCATCAGTAAGCTACTTATTGTCTAACTTTTAGTCTTCTTCGTGCTCGTCACTGCCTTTGGTAACCCCATCTTCGAAGAGTTCTATTGGAGAATGTTCACTCTTGAGACCTTCGCAACTGATGGCAAAGTCGACACTCCCACGTAAGCTGTTGTGGTAATTCATAGAGTGAGATGGGTAACATCAATATTTTACGGAGTGTATCATTTCTGGATACCCTTCACCGACCAAGGACCTGTTGCAGGAATAATCTTTGCAATAGTCGTTATTGGATATGGATATTTGCTTGTTTGGCAAAGACTCACAGTTAATGTCTTTAATGCTTTTCTGATCCATTTAGGATTAGACCTTGGAGAGCCATTTGCTCTTTATTTCCTAAAAGTGATCTCAGTCACTATAATTTGGAGGCAATAATAGCCTAATCCTAAAATCTGACAATAAATTCCCAAAATTATTATTGTTGTGAATCTGTATTATATTTAGAATTAATTTTCTTCAATATTTCAGAATTATCTTGGGGTTTTGGGGTTTTGGGGTTTTGGGGTTTTGGGGTTTTGGGG